GGTTGTTTGGATTCTGTTGTCGTCTGCGTTCACGATTCTGTTGCCCACTCAAGATGTCTGTTGTACTAAACGCGCTGTCACACACTCAGCGCTTTGTGTGACCCTCATGTGATTTCTTTACAACTCAGGCATTAGGCGGCAGAAGTACTGATATTATAAGCTGCAAGCATTTTGGCCAGGTCAGTTGTTGAGAATGTGTGTCATAGCAGTGTATACGCAAAAAGAGAGCGTTATTGGTTCTGAAGTTGTGGAAAGGGAGTAAAGTGCGCTTTGATCGAAATAGCGAAGCAGGAGCAAAAACTTAAATTCTAGCTTTCTTGTTCACCTGGGCTTATTACTATGCTTAATTCAAAAACCGACCTTGGTAGCGGCGGGAACTTTTTCAAAAATCATTTAGTTTGAATTTGAACGATTAAAACAGCTTCCGCAAAGGCTGGGACACAGAGTCACTGTGGATTCTGATCCTGACTGTGGCGGCAAGCACACCCTGGTGCAGAGAAGGATATTCACAGATTGGCGACTTTCAGCTTGTTGCGTAAGCCTGCCAACTTTGCAAGGGGATTTTTTGCTTTTGTCCAAAGCCACCTCGCATGCTTTTGAAATGGAGAAAAATAAATTAAAGTACCGCAGCCGTCGAATTCTCGAAAATTGTTGAAGCAACATTGTCAAGGCAATTTAGCTACATTTCTGGGAAAGAGGAGGACAATTTGCGCATTATTGCAGTATTTTCTTGAAAAATGGTTTTGTAGAGGTTCTCCAGGAATCTGAACGAGGAGACTTGTGACACTCGTAAAACAAAACTATGCACGAAATTGCCGAGTCAATTTTCAACTTTTTGCTTCTACTTGCCTAAATGCGGGGATTTAATAACGAAATATCTAAAATGGAGAGGGTCTGGACATATGGAGAAGCCATGTGCGAAAAGAGTGTGGTCCTCAACACATCAAAGTATACAGGGTAAATGAAAGCATAAACTCACGCTTGTGTCTGCTATTTTTTCGTCAAAAATAAATATAAACAACTAGGGTTAAATATTTCAATTTACTTTATTTTATATCATTTTAATTAATTATTATTGCCGGTAAAGAAAGGAGACATTCTCATATGCAGTCAAGAAAATACGCTTCTGTGCACGCAAATAAATATGCTAACGCTATCTTTGATTTAACTTGTTCGGAAAATGTTGTGTTGAGGATACGATGAGAAAATGCGTTCCAGCGGTTTTTTTAATCCGAAAAATTATAATGAATGCAATTTTGTAGGGCATAATCTATGTAACACGACCATGTCTTAACATCATCACTACTTTTAACCAAAAACAGATTACAGTGCTCTGGGAAGGTGCTGACTTGAGTCGCACTGCTGATTGAACAGAAGGTCATGAAGCTTTGCTAGTATTCAAATGAGCGTCTTTAAGCGATTTTCACTTCTGATATATAGGCGATTTATGACTCAACTGGCTTACTAGGCACCATAATTGGATGTTGGCGTAAAAAGATACAACATATATCGTAACACTCTGTTTTTACTTTTCTACTACTTTTCGGCCACTCTGTAAAGCAAAGACTTAAGAGAAGGGACAAGTTTCGCCCATATGACATCACCTCCGCGGGCTACCGGATCTTACAGGTATGCGAGCAGCTGTTGTAAATATTGAGGGAATATCTTTTCTTTTCTCTAAGCCAGACAGACTTTGACATACAAAATCAAAAGTGGCTTCAACAACTTACCTCTTTCAAAACATTTCTGGAACATGTTGTTGACTTTTGAAAAGATACATGCTTTGGTCTACAATTATAATATCCTGTGTCCATCAAAATACTCTTGAATCGAAAACTTGCATGGCATTTATTGAAGGTTTTTGAAATGGTTTTGCGCCTAGGAGTCATTGGGCCGCTAGTAGGAGTAACTTTTGCGATTAAAGTCTATTTATCAACACTGTGCTTTCGATACAATGTTATTATTCCTTCACCAAATACGTAAACCACTCTGCCATGTGTAAATGGTAAGGGATCGATGGTAAAGAAAGTGTGAGTACAAGTATGCACAAGGGGCAGGTGAGCATGCTGATTAGGGAAAGGTGGCATATAGAATTGGGATAGAGGAAGGGTAATGTTGTACAGAAAAAGAAAGGTAACCTTTATTATAATGTATTCGGTTGGCACATAAGCGTTGCAATCCTGTCCATAACTTTTGTTCTCAAATGTGGCGCGTGCAAAATTTGTTGCTTTGTAAACTTGGTGGTCTATGAAACTTGAACAATTTGATTTTTTATGACAAATTGGAAAAAACCTGCGCACTTTCTGAAAGGCGGTCAAAATGGAGACTTACGGCTTTTTGCCAAAAACGAAGACGTATAGGAAATGTACCGAACAAATTGAACGGAACTGTGAGCAAAGTTTTCTCAGTTGTAGCTGCTGAGCCCAGCGAGAAGAGAATTGTAACTTAAAGTCACAGAATCTGGCGATCTCATGAACTCGAACGAGTCGAGTGCGTCAAAGTTGTTTCGGAAATCCATCAATGCCACAAAGTCGGAACCGTCGGACTTTGCGCAATGGGGTGATTTCACATGCTGAACACAAATTACACAATTAATTATTGTCAGGATCAAAGATTAGCCCACTAATTTTCTGTAAATCAACTTTTTTTGTAGCAAATGACCCTTTCACGCAAAATGAATAACATTTTCGTAATCAGGGTGCCGCATGACCCCCTAGACCAAATTTGATCCAATTATGTAACAATTCTTTTTGGTTTCCCATTCAAAAATTGCCTTACCGTAAATCTCAAATGCGATGATGAAATTCGGCAGAGATCGCCTTCGCTTCCATGATTGCATTATGATACCAAAGAATAGAAGCGCCAAATTCAAAAAGACAAAGGTTATAGGAAAAAGCTGCAAAATTTAGTGCCAACCTAATATTTTCAGTGCCAAGCCGGATGCCACTTACTTATAAGGAATTGTATTACATTCCGATTTTTTCCATTCGCAAATCTTTCAGTTTGTATTCCGACTGCATTTCCATTTGTCCGGTCCATGGAGGGTTATTCGACATGCTGATTGCAAATACCATAATTTTCATACATGATGAGGCCGTTTCATTGAGTCACGGTAGATTTATGTTATGAGGTCTCCAAACTACGGGTTTGCCCTAAACTTCGTTTGGGAGAGTTATTTTGATGCTGACAGTCAATATCATACTGTTTTTCTAGATAGAGACATTTTCTGGTTAAGGTAGGTGTACGGTAGGTGGGTCGAAGTTATATATAAATTTGCTCAAATCTTTGCTTAGAGGGTTTCAAACGTGCTGGTTAGGATATCATGCTTGCTTGCTGCAATAACGCATTATCGTAAAGTGGATATTTGCAATGTAGACATTTGCTTCTCGGTCAACTTGGGTCTCAAAAATTCAAGAAAAAACTTTGTCATAAGAAGCAAGCACAATATTCGTGTTCAGCAAGTCAGGCAGATACGCTGCCCCCCTTCCCGCACTAGTTTCGGGCAGATTATGATTTGGACCCTCTACCGTATAACCAAATGTAACTCCGTGAATAGCTCTCAAAATTATAGACCGTGTATCCTCGAACGTCTCATAATCTTTCTGGGCGAAGCCTCAGCAAAATCGCGGTTTGACAATTGGTCTTAAAGGCAGCGGCTCGGCAGAATGACAACTTTGGGATATTCATCGATCTCGGCTCTCATGAATGAGCTAAGTCCAAGCTGTGCTTTGCAGCTTCGAAAGTCAATAACCCACTTTTCCAGACGCGAAAAGCGCTATTTGAGGGCGGACCGCGTAATTGCCCTCTAGAGCACGATTGACTCGTGAGTGGAGATACTGTATCCACCGTACTCAAAGCGGGTTATTGATATCTTTTGAAGCTGCAAAGTACAGTATTGGACTTACCCGAGAATGATGAATATCCCAAAGTTGTCATTCTGCCGAGCCGCTGCCTTTGATTGAGCTTTTAACGTAACATACAACATCTTTTCATCCTCGCATGTGTCCCGCTTATGCAGGGTCTGCTTCTCTTGCCAGGCGTCTCGGTTTTTCTATCTAAGGAAAGGTCTTCGTCTATTAAAGTTCTCGAATTGTTGAGAGAGCCGCCAGGCGATGTAGTTGCGTGACGTATGCCCAACTCTTTAAATCCAGCTCTACTGGATGATACTCAAAAGTACGCCAAAGGTTATATGGCAAGAGAGTCGTTGAAATCTCATTGTAGAAAGAGTGGGAAATTTGTTCCTTAGAAAAAATGTACGTCAGCATTGCCATGTACAGTGAAGATATTGAGTTTCGCATACATTCTTTTATTTTGCGATTTATGCACTTTGCCTTGTTCTACTTTCACGGTGGACGAATCCTACACCTAGAAAAAAGTGTAACTTGTACCAGGTACTTGTATAAAGTTATTACCGTGTTTCAGGTTCTTGCTAACAATTTTGCTGTCTTGATATCATCAATCATCACGGAGGCAAAAGGAAGGATTTGTTGAAAAATGAAAATTTTCTAAGAACTCATGCGCAACGAAAAAAACATCGCCGATTGCAAATGCAACGTTTTCATGATTCAGGTCATTGTGACAAACGACCTAGCTTCAGAAGTGAGCAAAAGGAAACGAGCAGCATGTGAACTTATAAGACATTATAAGACATAGTGAGGAGGACAAAGAACATTCGGCTGACGCTAATCATAAGTAATGAATCATCCAGAATGATCTAGAATGTTAGCGTCGACTGTTGATCAAAACTTACAAAGCGTATCTGAGCTTGCCAGCCCTAGGAAGAATGCCACATACATTTCATCGAATTCTTAGCGGCAATAGGGTATCATTTTCCACATTAAACGAAATCATGCCATAACTTTTCTTGAGACAGTGACTAGGCTTTACTTTACAAATCATTTTCTGGAAAGATTACACAGACAATGTAGACTTCAGAGCAAACCGTTGTAAAATTTATATGAAAGTCGTTTAAGTACACTGCTAGTACTGATTGCATCTGTCTAGAGATCAATGGGCAAGAGTTGTTTTTCCTTGTATATCATTTCCATTCGTCTTACAACCATGAACATATGAACCATATCTAAAAGCTCAAACATGAAATTGTGATCTTAGAAACATTAACGATGTTCTAAAGCTGTAATGTCCTGTGACTTGTTCTTGACAATCTTGATCAGGTATACCAATTTACTTGACTCGACTTTAAGGAAGGAACTTTAGGGCGAATTATATTCGTGCAATAAGGCCAAGTTTTGCTCTTTGGCAGGATATGACACTACACATCCAAGATTGATGTTGTAATTGTTATAATCTCATGATTCTGATTCCATCGAATGCGCGATTAGATTTTATTGCTCTGGAGGCTATGTGGCGAAATAAAGCTACCGCAACAAGCACGAAGGGTAAGTCGAAGAGAACACATAGTATGCGGCGAGTACTTTGAAAAATCATCGCATCGAAATCGGATCCTGATGTGATTTCAATTATGCAATTGTGTTACCACTTTGAACAACGACCAACAGAGCGCATAGCTGTTGGAGAGATTAAACCGCAAATTTAGGTGTTCATTTATTTTTGGAATACTAAATTGTGTGCTAGTTAAATTTTTCTGAGGCGAGCAAGCTCTATATAGTTGTTTTGAGAGCAATCGAGGATGTTCAGGCAAAAAAGTTTATAATTATACTGTTTTTTTTAAAAAAAGGTTCCCCTCGCATAGCCTTTGCATGGTCTATGGTAGGGGATAACAACGCAGAAATCTTTCTCTGTATGTTTCCTGGAAATACCTATTGAAATACTTGTATAATATTGACAAAATTTGCATGTTTTGTAATTGATTGCCAGGACGACTCTCACATAATGCCTTCGTGCCTATGCGCGTATGGACGCCCCACATGCACGATAACCGTTTGTGGAAGTTTCGCCCAAAACAGCCGGTATCAATGTTTTAAGTTTATCAAGGTTTCCACTTATCGTATTAACCAGCGCGTCACCTCCGCTTCGCGGAGGTTCACACTGGTTCCCTATCCATATGCCTTTCTCAGGTTCGCATGAGAATGGCTTTGAAACTTACTACGCGATGCTGAGCATCACAAATGAATCGTAAACAACTGTTCATTCATGAAGCATCTCCATGTAAGATCGGTGATTTTGAGAAAAAAAGTTTGTTGCAAGGAATCAAATGCTTGAACGGATTACCGAATTTATTTTAGTTTGATAATCGGCATAAGGATAATAGTCACCTTGGGCTACATTTTAGTGCAAAAACCTTTTCAGTTTTTCCAAATAAACCCTTGCCAAATCGACTATCTACGCGTTCATCACTTTTTGGCGCTGTTTTCGCAAAAAAGCAAACTTTTTGAGCACTTTTTGGGCTAGAATTCATGCCGCGCAGAGTTACTTGTCAGGCAAATCACAACTTTGCAAAAAGTCGAATTAGCGACCCAGTTTTGCGTGCCAAAAGGCGCGTGGACCCGTTCGACGCGCGAATTTTGAGGGACCCGCTTATCGAACCGGCTCGTACTTGTGCATGGTGGGCTTACACGCTGGCACGATATGTTATGCAAAATTGTAGCTCGATAGCTTAGTTGCAGCTTCCTCCTCCTCCATGAATTCATGAATTTCGTGACAGACAGATTTTCACACACACACACACACACACACACACACACACACACACACACACACACACACACACACACACACACACACACACACACACACACACACACACACACACACACACACACACACACACACACACACACACACACACACACACACACACACACACACACACACACACACACACACACACACACACACACACACACACACACACACACACACACACACACACACACACACACACACACACACACACACACACACACACACACACACACACACACACACACACACACACACACACACACACACACACACACACACACACACACACACACACACACACACACACACACACACACACACACACACACACACACACACACACACACACACACACAGACGGCCTTAGCGCGTTATTATAGTAGGATGCTCTGCCACGCGTTAACAGTCCTACTGGAAAAGAATCATCTACGAAGTATGACCAACGAAGACAAAATCAACTCGCCCACATATTCAGTCTAACAACTTATGAGGTATTTTTTGCTGAGAGTGTTTTTATTGCACATTGAGGAGGGATGACAGTCTTATTCGAATATGTTTAAGACTGTATGAGCAGCCTTTTGGTGCCAATTTGCATGAAAGTCTTTCAAAGCACACCAACATTAGTCTTCGGCTCTCAGACTCAAAATTTTGAAAGCTTTTTGCGTTATCTCTGAGCACAGACGCGGCGCAGATACTCACCACTACACTACCGAGGAAGGTTCAACAACAACCTGTACTAGAGCTGTAACCGACTGGATATACCACTGGACGCCAAATGCAAACGAGGAACACCGCCGACGCGACGTCAGATATGTAGTCCTTCAATGAAGTCCTTCGGAGCCCATGTGTTGTAAGTGCAATACAACACTAGTCAACGATTGCCTGAGACAGAGACGAATGGAGAATTACTGTGCCCTTGTACAATACGACGATCAAAGTGGATATAGATGATACAGGTTGTCTCAGAAAAATGTGACCTTGGCAAATGAAGTGAGCACAAGGTTTCTCTTCAACTACCATCTTAGCTACAAAACAATTAACACCTCCATATCAGCTCTTTACTACTCCTGTACCTACGTTGCAATAAATAGAGGGTAGAGGAACGAATACCTCATTTAGGCACCGTTTGTGCTGTCTGCGGGTCCGTTCTCTTGTACGTCGAGTGAGGAGCAATAGTCCGCAAAGGCGGTGTTCAATTGAGATATTCTTTCTTTTACCAGTGATTGAAGCCTCAAAAACGAAGAAGCTTTTCTGTGTTATCTATCTATATATATATATATAAAACTCAAAAATTGTCAGTTTGGAGGGTATGTGCGTTATAGAAACGCGCGCCACTCAACCGATTTAGCTGAAACTTTGCAAACATATGTTTTCGACCCTTGCGCAAATGATAGGCTACTTTTTGCGGCGATTCGTTGGGTTCTTCTATCGATTTATTGATTTGTTTACATTTTCCTAAGAAATTAAAGGGTTATCATGTTCAATCAAGCATTTTCCATACTCATGCAAAGGAGGGCGGTGAAGCTCATTTTCACCTCAGGATCACGAGGATGCGGTTTTCAAGCGGATGTCCCAGGGTAAGTCATCCATACCATATAGGGTGGGGAGGGGGGGGGGGGTGGGGCTCGCAGTGCGGTGAAGCATGGCCCGGGCTGGACCGGGAAAGCCAACTAGTATATAAATAAGACTCAATCTCTGTAAATTTGTTCGTTTGTAAGTATGTGGCTTTTGGAATCCTTTGTTTGTGAACCGATGAGGCTGAAATTTGCTACCTTGTAAATGAGGGACGGCGCAGAAGATAGGCTAATTTTCTTCGCGACGATTCACTGGGTCCTTCCATCGATTTATTAATTTGTTTACTTACATGTAGGAAAACGAAGGCTTTTCATGTTTTGTAGAAACGTGAAGGAGGGCGGTGAGTTTCATTTACTCTTCGCATCTAGGAGGATGCGGTGTTCCGCGGCGGGAAAGGAAAGGAAGACAAATTTCTCCACGGAAATTGCTGCACGATTCGGAGCAAGAACATGGAAAAAAGGTGCAGTGAAGACGAAGTAACAGCCAAGAAGAAAGGGTAGGTTATTAACAAGCGGGAACAAACTTTTGTGCTTTGCCGAACCAGTTTAACCCCGCACGGGCTGGATCGGGGACACCAGCTAGTAATTCAGAAAACTTGAGTCTCAGTGGGAATTATGTTCAAAAATATTTTGTGTGCCTGTAAACTAAATTTCTGGCAAGCTAGCAATTAATAAGATGTAAAGACTCACATGCAATGCGAATTAACGATGTAAACACGATCAAAAAGGAATTCCCTAAACAGTTATGGTTAGAATGATCCAAACTTCTCAAAGAAAAAGTAACGTACATTCTTTAATGCGTAAAAAATTTTACATTTTGGACGAAAGTTGGAACAGGCTGCTTAGAATCAAAGCATAGTGGTAGATCTATGGAGTGGAGTAAATATTTTCTAGTTGAAGAAGAAAGCGAGGTTAGCGTTTGAACGTTTAAAACTAAGTAAGGTTAGCCAGAAAAGTGAATGATGCGAGCTGTGTGTGGACTTTTTTCCTACATAGAGGGAAAACAGGGTGTTTCAAAAGCATACACTGCCTGACCCCTAGTATGTCTTCGGTCCTAATGTAATCCGCAAACTTATGTGTACCATATGTTATAGAGCTATCCTTATCCTAAATGCATATCAGGCTGCTTTTATGCCAGTGAGACTTTGCTCCAAAATCATTTCAAGAGTCTGGAAATTTTGTCTTTTAGAAAAAAAAAACTACATCTTATGTGCATGTGCAAAGTCAAATCGACAAAGGCAGCATGTGCGGTATCTCCTCAAATTTACAAATTGGAAGTTTTTGTCTTAACCATCAAGTTACCAACATTAGTGATGGAAGTATCTGTCGTAACACCAAGGTAGAATACAAACGGTTATCTGGTTGATACAGATATGAGATGGGTAAAGCTCTACAAAATGATACTCAAAGCTTGAGTAACATAGAAATAAGAGAGTTATTAACAATTAACCCAATGACGACGACGCCTAATTCTGCATGGGCGCTGTGAGACGCGATTTTGCACAACAGTTTCGGTGTGGGAGTGTTTTGCGGTTATGTACGAAAAAGGATGCTTTGTAAATGGTTATGAAAATTTCTTGAACAACATCAACATGCGCAGCGGCTGGAAACGGCGTATGCTAATCACAGCGCAGCACCCCTTTCAAGGGGTGCTGCGCTGTGATTAGTTTTAATAACACTATGCAGTGGCGAAAACAACGTGGATGTTGATCGGAAAATTCGTAAACAAGGGACTATGCTGTTGTGTTTGAAATGCGGCGCGGGCAACTAAATTTTACAAGGCCTGTACACACTTTTGGATTACCCTAAGGATAAAAGATAAGCTTTCGACTAAAAAAATGATGCTCACCATATGACGAATTTCCATCTATAGCCATAAGTATGTCGGCAACATCAGAAATAGCTGCGAGACCCTTAATAAAACAGCATATCATGCAGGGTATGTATGCCTCTGACCACAAAATTCTGTCTCATTCATATGTCATTCAGAATGTTTGTTGATTACCCTAAATGGGAGGACCCGTCAGCGTTTAGAAGTGCATAAGATAACGGTAGAGCAGGATCAACAAACGTACAAACTAGCTTTCACTGAAGTTTTGTATTCTAGGTATTTGCAAATATAGTACCTTATTGCCGCGTCCTTCTTGGTCTGAACGCGAGCAGACTCAGGCGTCCGCTGCGTATGTGTCTCGCGAAGCGCTCTATTTTTCGAACATTGCTCTCTTTTGACGCGCCTCATATATGGTATACTAGCGACCCTACGGGTCGCTAGCAAGTGGGTTCAGGCCGACATTAGTGAGCCAAGGCTACATTTATTTGCACATTAACTATAGGCTCTCGTTTTTCGAAGCGTTTCCTTTTCACCGTAAACAGTTAAGGATACTACTAATAAGATTCGACTTTCAAAAAAGTAGGCACTCGAAAAAACTACCCTAATTTCACGCGTATAGGACGTAGGGGATTTTTTTCTAAAGTCAAACAGCATAGACACGCCGAAAGACTTCGCGACCAAAAAACTATTTACAATGCTGCATACTGCCTGAGTGTATCGCGCGGAATAAGTATCGTTTTCCGAGATACAACAAGGCGGCTGAGCGGCACGCTTAATTGAAAAATGTGCGTTTATACTCCGTTTTAGGGTATTTGCCTCATGCTGCAGCTTAAGGAACAATGACAAACGAGATTATTCGCAATTTGCTGCACCGTTTTTGAGCACTAAAAGTCTGATCAAAGTTATTCTCGATTATGCATGGGTCACTCGGAAAGTACTGCCAATATTTTTCAAACAAGGACTCATCAACAAATTGATTGAAAGTGCGCTCTCAGAAAGTTTCAGCGAGGTAACGATCTTTCCATTTCTCCAAAAGTCCGTGCATTGGATTCAAATTCCTTTCGCACGATAATGCTTCTGCCAGAGGTGAAGCGATAACCTTGATAACCAAAGTTCTTCCACAAGATGTACAGCCTTTCCTTCAATTCTCAAAATTTTTTCGCTTGCTAAAAATTTCCTTTTTACCTTTAGAATTTCCGTCAAATGACGCGGAACATCCCTCAGTCTTATTATAGAACGACACCACTTTCTTCACGTGTCTAAAAACCCTGCAGTGAATCCAAAGGTTTTAATACGTCAAAGCTTTTTCAAGAGTGAAGCGAAAGCTGTTGAATGCCCGCCTCTTCCGAGAGTATCGGCATTTCTTTGTAATGCTCAATCTTGATTCAGTTTATCCACATAACTATGATACTTCAAGGGCTCTCCCTTTCCCAAAAGAACGCGGAACCCGCTTCACACCTCTATCCAAATTACAACATTTTCTGGACACTTCCAAAAATCCTCACAGTTTACACATCTGGAGATCTATTAACGTACCGCTGTAGTTTTCACATTTATCCAGTCCCAAGCAATGCAAAAAATCCTTTTTCTCAGGTTTCTATCGAAGAGCAACACGCACCCATTAGACAACCCTTTGCTTGACGCCATTTCTTCCATATTGTGAAAGTTCTTACAAAATATTCAATTTTCTTTGAACTTGAAGGATTTATGTCAAAATTAATGCGAAGCCCTCGAGCCATCCTTCAGTCTTCTTACCAGACAAACAGAGATTTTATATTACTACAAAATCCATGCCTGCATACAAATCATGCTCCGAGGCCTTCTTGAGAAAAGTGAGAAGGCCTCTCCCCGCTCGAAATTATATAGTGCAAAGCATTCAAATTCTAGAAAATCCCGCCAAAAGTGACGCGGAATCCCTTCCCTACTGATAATCCAAATTCAAAATTTGGAAGCTCCCTCGTTTTCAGGCATTTTTCATTTTGCAAGAACTAAGTGCGAAAGGTATTTACTGTAATAGTGTCCTGCCGAAATTATTATCAAGTCGTTTTCTTCCAGTGAAACTGAGCTTTGCACATCGCCAAAGTGGAATCTTCCATAGAATAAAAAAAATTTATATCAAACGCGAAAAATTGAAAGACAATTTTGCCGTGAAAATCGTTGAGTGTCTTACCAAAGGCTTTGAAGCAGCTTTTACCGAATTTCACGAAAATATTTCGAGAGAGAACAATCCTATGTGGTGATAGTTCGCAAATAAGTATAACATAAGTTATTTCGTCCTTCATACCAAACTCGCTCTGCGCTTTTCTCTCTAGCGGCTAAAGCAGGATTTCTCTGGCAATAGGTAGAAGTAAACAATACTTTTTGTTATAGCAATAAAGACCCGCCTTTACTTTATCTTTCTGTGGGCAAGCGCAGAATTTTCATTTAGAAAGTGGAACCCGGAAATTTTTCTACGAAATTTTTGTAAATATTGAATCTGAAACTAATTCTTGGGAGATCATCCTGGCCTAACGCATGAAGTCTCTGGTCCTATCTAAAAGTAAGACGAGCTTAGTCGCATTTTTGGAAGACGGGCTGAGGAGAGAGGAAACAACAACAAGATTCCCCATAGTCGAAGAACCCAAACTATCTTTTTTCTTATGAATTTTAGCTGTGACCACTCTTATTTCAAGAAATAGTTCATGCCGCATAAAGTCCCTGCTCCTCCCCGCCAGAGAACATTATCGCCCTGCTCCTTTTCTTCCAGGGTGCAGAAGTAGGAAGCATCTTACGGCACATTTTGAGAGTTTGGTTGTGAAATCTTGGAACATTTTCGGGGAAAAGCTCGTGCCGCATAAACTTTCCGGCTTTCTTCTGCCAGCGAGACCATGCTGTCCTGCTCTGTTCTTTTTGGACAGAAGTAAGGTTTTATCAGTGGAAAAAACGCTTCAAAATTCTGTGAAACCCTGGGATTCCTAAGAACGTTCGCACCGCATAAAGTTCCAGGTCCTTTCGCTACTCGCTCCGCTCTGTTCTTGATGGGCAGAAGTAGGGTTTTCTCACTAAAAAAAACGTGAAAGTACCTTTAAACAAATTTTAAATTCTTCTGTGGAACATTGGAATTCCCAAGAAAAGCTTGTGCCGCATAAAGTCCCAGGTCCTTTCTGGCAGCGAGACCATGCTCGCCCCGCTCTGTTCTCTTTGGGCAGAAGTAGGGTTTTCTCTGTGGAAAATTTTTTAAAATTTGTCTTTGAAACCTTGGAATTCCCAAGAGAATTCCGTGCCGCATAAAGCCCCAGGTCCTTTCTGGCAGCGAGACCATGCTCGCCCCGCTCTGTTCTTGATGGGCAGAAGTAGGGTTTTCTGTGTGGAAAATTTTTTAAAATTTGTCTTTGAAACCTTGGAATTCCCAAGAGAAGTCCGTGCCGCATAAAGCCCCAGGTCCTTTCTGGCAGCGAGACCATGCTCGCCCTGCTCTGTTCTTGATGGGCAGAAGTAGGGTTTTATCAATGGAAAAAAACGCTTCAAAATTCTGTGAAACCCTGGGATTCCTAAGAACGTTCGTACCGCATAAAGTCCCAGGTCCTTTCTGCCTGCGAGGTCATGCTCGCCCTGCTCTGTTCTTGATGGGCAGAAGTAAGGTTTTCTCGGTGAAAAAAAAAACATAAAAGTATCTTTAGACAAATCTTTCAAAATTTTTCTGTGAAACCCTAAGATTCCTAAGAACGTTAGTACCGCATAAAGTCCCAGGTCCTTCTGGCAGCGACAATCGCTCCGCTCTGTTCTTTATGGGCAGAAGTAGGGTTTTCTCTGTGGAAAATTTTTTCATTTGTCTGTAAAACCCTAGGATTCCTAAGAACGTTCGCACCGCATAAAGTTCCAGGTCCTTTCGCTACTCGCTCCGCTCTGTTCTTGATGGGCAGAAGTAGGGTTTTCTCTGTGGAAAATTTTTTCATTTGTCTGTAAAACCCTAGGATTCTTAAGAACGTTCGTACCGCATAAAGTCCCAGGTCCTTCTGCCAGCGACAATCGCTCCGCTCTGTTCTTTATGGGCAGAAGTAGGGTTTTCTCTGTGGAAAATTTTTTAAAATTTGTCTTCGAAACCTTGGGATTCCCAAGAGAATTTTGTGCCGCATAAAGTCCCAGGTCCTTTCTGCCTGCGAGGTCATACTCGCCCTGCTCTGTTCTTGATGGGCAGAAGTAAGGTTTTCTCGGTGAAAAAAAAAACATAAAAGTATCTTTAGACAAATCTTTCAAAATTTTTCTGTGAAACCCTAAGATTCCTAAGAACGTTAGTACCGCATAAAGTCCCAGGTCCTTCTGGCAGCGACAATCGCTCCGCTCTGTTCTTTATGGGCAGAAGTAGGGTTTTCTCTGTGGAAAATTTTTTCATTTGTCTGTAAAACCCTAGGATTCCTAAGAACGTTCGCACCGCATAAAGTTCCAGGTCCTTTCGCTACTCGCTCCGCTCTGTTCTTGATGGGCAGAAGTAGGGTTTTCTCTGTGGAAAATTTTTTCATTTGTCTATAAAACCCTAAGATTCTTAAGAACGTTCGTACCGCATAAAGTCCCAGGTCCTTCTGCCAGCGACAATCGCTCCGCTCTGTTCTTTATGGGCAGAAGTAGGGTTTTCTCTGTGGAAAATTTTTTAAAATTTGTCTTCGAAACCTTGGGATTCCCAAGAGAATTTTGTGCCGCATAAAGTCCCAGGTCCTTTCTGGCAGCGAGACCATGCTCGCCCCGCTCTGTTCTCTTTGGGCAGAAGTAGGGTTTTCTCTGTGGAAAATTTTTTAAAATTTGTCTTTGAAACCTTGGAATTCCCAAGAGAAGTCCGTGCCGCATAAAGCCCCAGGTCCTTTCTGGCAGCGAGACCATGCTCGCCCTGCTCTGTTCTTGATGGGCAGAAGTAGGGTTTTATCAATGGAAAAAAACGCTTCAAAATTCTGTGAAACCCTGGGATTCCTAAGAACGTTCGTACCGCATAAAGTCCCAGGTCCTTTCTGCCTGCGAGGTCATGCTCGCCCTGCTCTGTTCTTGATGGGCAGAAGTAAGGTTTTCTCGGTGAAAAAAAACATAAAAGTATCTTTAGACAAATCTTTCAAA